TTGCAACTCTGGAGATCAGGGTTCAAGTCCTTATGGAAACCTACTCGATGGCCTTGGGGAAGGACACTCTCTCAGCCTCAGAAGAAAGCAGGGGCAACACTTAGGTCCTTTCCACACAGCTGAATAAAATCCCACATTATCTGCTTTGAACTTGATATATGACAGTGTGGACTCAGATATTCAAGTTCAAAGCAGATATTGTGGGTGATTCTGCCTTAATATTCTTGGTTATATGGCTGTACGAAAGGGCCCTTAGGCTCACCATAAATTAGAAATGACTTAAAGAAGTACATCAACAATAGGCAGTGGCAACAATAGGCAATGATGACTACTTTATGAGCTAACATCTAAGAAACGTTTTGAAATTCAGACCTGGAGAAATATGTTTTATAAGCAATATATTCCTGATGACTAGATACTATAAAACAAATCATTCCTGTCACAATACTCAAAATATACACCACTGAAATTCTCATTGTGCTGCTACTTACTTTGCTATTCCTTTTCATTACCTTAAAAAATCTTAAGAAAGAATCTTGTAAAAATGTGTCATAACATGCCCTTAAAAAGTAACATGAAAAGACTATATTACACAAATAAAATAATGCCTTCTTCTCATTGCAGAACTTTTGGAATATGAATCCATTTCAGCCAAGAAAAGTAACATCCTAATGGATTGATTAGTTATAATGTGTTAATTCCATGTTCTGATTATATTAAACATACGATGGGAGACTGATATTCTTAGTTCATACGGGAGTTTAAGTGTTCATGAAGTAAAACACTTATTTTCTTCACTCAAGAAGGAAAAGGGCAGAAGGTGGGAAATGCAGTTCAGGACTGAAGAAAGATTTTGAACAAGTGTTTAAATACAGTTTCTGGAGGAGCCAGACAAGCATCTGTTCTAATTGTAGAATCAGGAAGAGAATACGGATGTTGTCAAAGAATGGAAGGTGTAATTTTGAGCTGACATGAAGACAGAAAAATGTAGGGGGTGGAGAGGGGAGGGAAAAAGAAGAGTTAGGAAGAAAACAGACTATAAATGATTAAAATATTATATTGACCAAAACAGATAATTAATATCACAATAGAGAGAGTGTGTACTGTAGAGAGACAGTGTAATGTAGTGGCTTAAGTGTTGGACTAGAACATTGGAAGACCAGGGTTCACCTCCTTTTTTAGCTATGGAAATCCATTTGGTGCTTTTGAGCAACTCACACTCTCAGTTTCAGAGGAGTGCAATGCCAAAACTCCTCTAAATAAATGTTTTTAGGAAAACTCTGTTATAAGTTCATGTTAGGATCACCATAAATTGGAAATGACTTGATGTCACATAACAAGAAGAATGAAGACATAGGAAGGTGGAATTGAGAGAAAGAGTGAGAAATCGATGTGCATATCTGCATATCAATTGCATCTGAGGGTCCTTTCACACAGCCCTGTATCCCAGAATATCAAAGCAGAAAATCCCACAATATCTGCTTTGAACTGGGTTATCTGAATCCACACTCAGATAATGTGGGATTTTTTGCCTTGATAATCTGGGATATAGGGCTGGGGTGGAAGGGCTCCAGGAGCTGCATACTTCCAGGAGTGAACTTCACAGATAGTAAACTAATATTACACAATAAAATTAATGCAGTTTGACAGTAGTGCAACTGCTATGGCTCAATGCTATAGAATCATGGGAGTTGGAGTGAGGATCCAGCACTATTGGGCCGAGAAAGCTGTAGACCCTGTGAAACTCTAACTTCCATGATTCCATAGCATTAAGTCATGAGAGGTAAAGTGTTGTCAAACTGTACAAAGTGTAGATCAGTGGTTCTCAACCTGTGGGTCTCCAGGTGTTTTGGCCTACAACTCTCAAAATCCCAGTCAGTTTAACAGCTGTTAGGATTTCTGGGAGCTGAAGGCCAAAACATCTGGGGATCCACAGGTTGAGAACCACTGGTGTAGATGAACCCTTAACTGTCCAATCCAAATACTGAACTAGATGGTTTCTCTGGTTTAACTATAATTGTTAGTCTCACTAAATTAACAGGAACTTGGTAAGTCAACACAAAATGTAAGTGCTGTTGGTTAAATTGGCCAAAAATGTCTCTTTCAACAAGATAAATGAGGAGATTTTGGGGTGGAGGACAGTTCTATAAGTGCCTTTTGGGATAAGTTTTGTTTGTATTTATTGTTAATAGAATGTGTTCAGTCTATCTTAAATAGCAGTTGAGTCTACAAGAACAAAAACAAGCATTTCAGTATGTAATTAATTAGATGTAACTTGGGAGTTCTGTGGTTAGGATCCCCCAACATTTTATCAAATACATATGATCCAGAATTGCAACAGCATAGCAATTTTATGTTTTTCTCAGGAATCAAATAGCAGCCTTTGTAGCCGTTTAAATTGGGAATATATCACGATATATTCCTAATTTAAACTGCTACAAAGGCTGCTAGTTGAGCCTGAAATAGTTAATTATTTCAGGCTCTTCCACAGCTGATGGTTCTTGAAATAATATGGGGCAATTATTCACAGAAGTCATAGTTACCGGCTTGATTTCAAAACAATTAAGCCTGTGTGGGATGGCTCTGAAATTATGACAGTGTGGTATTAAGACATTGCTGATACAAAGTCTTAATCCTTTTATATAATTTATGATAGTAGCTTTCCATCCACTATCATAAATTATATAAACATACTACCCAGAGTGGGCAATTACCGTATTTTGATAAAAAGGTATTGGTTTCCCCTTGACATTAAATCTTACTTACTTACTTAGGCGATCCCTCATTGGACGAGTAGGATAGTCTTCCATGATCTGTATTCTTGTGGCTCCATAGGTGGCTGTGGAGCCCTATTCTTGGCCTGCATCTTCTCCCACAGTGAGCGCATTGGTTTCCAGGTAGAAGGCGGTCTTGGTTGGGGTTGGCTTGATGCGCCTTCCTCCTGGCACATTTCTCTCTTTCACCCTCCATTCATGCCTCTTCAAATTCTGCAGCACTGCTGGTCACAGCTGACCTCCAGCTGGAGCACTCAAGGGCCAGGGCTTCCCAGTTCTCAGTGTCTATGCCAGAGTTTTTAAGGTTGGCTTTGAGCCCAACTTTAAATCTCTTTTCCTATGCACCAACATTCTGTTTTCCGTTCTTGAGTTTGGAGTAGAGTAACTGCTTTGGGAGATGGTGGTTGGGCATCTGGACAATGTGGCCGGTCCAGTGGAGTTGATGGCGGAGGACCATCGCTTCAGTGCTGGTGGTCTTTGCTTCTTCCAGCATGCTGATATTTGTCATCTTCTCTTCCCAAGAGATTTGCATGATTTTCCGGAGGCAGCGCAACTCCGGGAGTTGCATGTGACATCTGTAGACAGTCCATGTCTCGCAGGCATATAGCAGGGTTGGGAGGACAATAGCTTGATAGACAAGCACCTTGGTATCCCTACGGATGTCCTAGTCCTCAAACACTCTCTGCTTCATTCGGAAAAATGCTGCACTCGCAGAGCTCAGGAGGTGTTGTATTTTGGTGTCAATGTTGACTTTGGTGGAGAGGTGGCTGCCAAGGTAGTGGAAATGGTCAACATTTTCTAATGTTACACCATTAAGCTGTATCTCTGGCATTAGAGAGGGGTTGGCTGGTAACTGCTGGAACAGCACTTTGGTTTTCTCGATGTTCAATGACAGGCCGAGCTTCTTGTATGCTTCTGCAAATGTGTTTAGAGTGGCTTGTAGATCTTCTTCTGAATGCGCACAGATGACATTGTCATCAGCATACTGGAGTTCTATAACAGATGTTGTTGTAACCTTGGTTTTGGCTTTCAGTCTGCTGAGGTTTAGACATTAAGTCTAGTCGAGTCTGACTCTAGGGGGTGGTGCTCATCTCCATTTCTAAGTTGAAGAGGTCAAGTGGCCAGCATGACTGCATGGAGTGCCATTATCTTCCTGCCAAAGTGGTACCTATTGATCTCCTCATATTTGGATGTTTTCAAACTACTAGGTTGGTAATGCCAGGGCTAGCAACAGGAGCTCACCCTGTTCTGTGGATTCAAATTGCTGACCTTTCAGTCAGCAAGTTCTGCAGCTTAGCAATTTAACCGACTACACCACCATGGCCCCTCTTACTGCATTTCGATACATAGGTCAAAAAAATATCCTTCCGTACTCTTCACTGTTATTAAATTTTTAACATTAATGCAGGCAGACCACCACATCTATGGATTCTGCACCCACAAATATAACCATCCATGGCTTGAAAATACTTTTTTAAAATGCCCCAAAGCAAGCCTTGATTTTGCCATTTTATATAAGTGAAACCATTTCACTATGCTGCTATTTATAAAGGAACTTGAACATCCACAGAGAGTCCTAAAACTAAATCCCAGCTTTGCATTGATCAACACTTCATGCCAGCGGATGAAGGTGGCCATTTTCCTTGGCCAAATTGTAGGTCCAGCCTTGGGAAATGAAATTTAATTCTCTCCCATTCTCTAATTTTTTTACTAGGCTTGTTTTAGTTATAGTAATCTAAAGAGGTCTGGGATTCTGATTTATGCTACCTGGTTCTCTCCCTGGAGAAATATGTGTATGGTACCTGCATTTGGAGTATGCACATTTCATCCTGGTTCTTATATAGACATTTCATTTCTGGATTCAGAACCACAAAAAGAAAACTAATGAAAAAATATATCCCCGTCTTCTGTGAAATATGCAATACACTTTTGGTGGATGATGTTGCAGAGCTGCATAGAAACATAAATGGATTTAAGATGTCTGCTGCAGAGATGATTGGATCAAGAGTAGACTCCTGGCAGAGCCATAATGTAATGCCATTTTTTGCTTGTGCTCTCTGCTTATTGCAGTGAACATGTAGGGGGGTGGGGTGGAGAGAGAAGGGTAAAGGGATTAAAGCTCATTTTAGAAAATCAATAATTCTAGGTGCCTGAATAAGCTTTGGGAGAGCCTCCCTCCCTCCCTCTCCAAAACCACATGGCATTGCACATCTTTTCCAGCACAACTGTCCCTCTGACTTCACTGGGATGAGTAAAAGCCATTTACAGCCTCCATTAAATGTTGCTAGTAACTGTGCTTACTCATAAGTAGTAGCCTTCTCTCCTCCCCTTTTTGCCTAGTCACTTTTGTTTCAACATGGGTGTGACTTCTCATCTTGCTCCCCTCCCTCTTAAGTCACTCCTTCAGTTACTTTGAATTGGAATAAGAACTGCAGCAAACTTCAGAGGCTGGCTCTCTGAGCAGACTTGACAAGACCTGGGACCTCCCCCACCCCTCGTCTCTCCTTTGTATAGGCTGTGAGGAGAACTTCTTGCCTTTTGCACATTAACCGAGGAGCAAACAATGGCCAAGTTCTGGTTGTGTGCAGCTGTTGGACTTTACTTGTTGCAGCTTTGCTCAGCACAGATAGGTAAGTGACTTATGAATGAAATCTCTCATACTTGCTGATTTCTCTTCGTATGTTTTTGATAACAAAACAGTGGCAGTTTGGCAGCTGGAGAATTTCTGGCATGTTCAGTTTCTTTGACATTTAACTGTTTCTCCAATGACCATGACACTGAACTGTAACATGTGCATTGTTTTACCAATGCCTGTATATAAGTTAGAAAAGTATAGCAATGCAGAAGTTATAAAAACTGAAGGGAGAATATTGATAGTTAAAGTTAACAGTATATACTAGGGAATGAAAAAGCTTCTAACACATCTGGATTATATTCAGTGATGGAAACCGCAGTTATGTATTTATTTTTGATGCTTTCTTTCTGTGAAGCAGACAGTCTGGTGTGTGTTTGGGAGGGATGGAATGACTTCTGCCTTACAATAGCTGTATTTTTGTGTTCACGTATTTGTGAAAAAGATGTGATTGCATACATAAGACATGCAGAAGCTGTAATGCCTTCTTTTCATTGTAACAGGGATGAAAATGTGAGCATTTAACTCAAGAGAAAAAGTTGAAAATGCTAGCTCATTTTAAAAGCTCTTAATCTGAGCAAGGGCTGTGAGATTTGGAAGCAAACTTGCAGTCAGAGTAAGAGAGGATCACTCATTTTCTAAAACTAGTTTTCTGAAGTCCGTCCGTGAATAATGAAATCAAATGCTTATTTGGAGAATGAAAGTGGTTCATGTGTTTAAGAAAAATCACATGTCTATGCCCAAAATGATAAAATGCTCTTAAAGTTTGATGCGATACAGAAGTATGGGTAATAATTGTGCCTTTAACAGAGACTCATTGTTAATAGAAATTGCCTTGAGCTGCTTTGAAGGGAATCTATTATCCTTTCCCCCTTATTTCCCCTCCCAAACCAGTTCCTGGGAGGCTAACAAAACACTTTTTCATTGCCTTCTTGATAGTTTTATATTTAATTGGGCATCTAGAAATAAACTGCAGCATGCTTGTAGCTCTGCAAATGGGTGTGTCAGAGCACACAGTTCCAAACACGTTTTGGAATCATCAGGGGAAAAAATTCCAGTATTGCATTTGTCCCAGTGATTATTGTGTGTTTCATTTTAAAAGAAGTCAGATACCTGAGTGTGCATTTCCTATATATAAGACAGCATTCTTGCTCTCTGTGAGATATATGATACCTTTGTGTGAGTCAAATGTTGGAATACATGTAGCATATACATGTATTCTGTAGATTAGTTATACTTTTATTTACTTAGCATTGATCTTCTATGAACTATTAGAACTTCAGTAAGTAACTGTAGCCTGCAATTATGTTGGGCATAAGCTTTCTTGAACAGATGGAAGAAAGCCACTATCCTCATGTGTTCTACTCTTTGGTGTGGTTAACAAAATGTATATCATGCTCCATCTATGCTTCACTGGAAACTTTTTAAAAGCTTAACAAAGTATTATGATATGGCTACAGAATATTTTTGTTGGTATGCAGTACATTCCAGGCAAGCTTTGTAGTCACAAATGGCTTTGCAAATGAAAATCTCTCCTCACCACCCCACACTGAGCTAAGGACCGTGGCTTTTTCATGGAGTTAAGATCATTGGTGGTATAAATACTTTCCCCATTTGTATCTCCAGTAAACCTATTTTCAAGGGACAGTATTGCGATGTCATTTTGGCCAAATGTAATATAATTGAATGAAATAAATATATGTGTAAATAACAGGTAGGATGTGAAGGTTCTCTCAAATAACTTTCAGCTCCCTAGGGAATTTCTCTCTAGAGAAAGCATTTATATTACTTTTATGATAGCCAGTTAATGTGATATAGAATTCTAGTCCATAGTGTTGGATAGATGCTAGTGAGACTTGAAAGTAAAGCTGGATTTGTCAAAGCCTGGAAAAATTACTTTCTGACCACAATTCTAGAAATCTCTAGCTGGTCATTGCTGGCTTAGATTTTATGGACTGCACAGTTAAGTAACTTTTCCAAGGTTTATTGATTATTCATGAAGCTCACAAAGTTGTAATCGACATTTAACTTTTTCTCAGTTCAACATATACAGTTTGACCCCATTATTCACAGATTCAATATCCATGATTTCTGTTTATAAGTTACCAGAAGTTGTGTTGGAGATTCATAACTGTTCCAATGCCACACTTGAAAATGTTTGAAGGAAACCACTCATACTGGGAGAGCTGGTGACATCATTACTTTCTATGCTATTTTTGGTCAACCATAGAATCTGCCTTCTCTTCTTGTTAAAATTTCATTACACTTTCTTCAAAGAAGCCATGCTGCTGGGATTTCAAATAGAAATCCTAGCAGTTCTCAACACTCCATATTACATGACACAATAAGTTGTGGAAGACAGTAGCTCAGTTCCTTAGGTACCACCAAAGCAGACCAACTGTTTAGGTAAAACCACTTGAGTAGATTTCGTTTCTCTAACTCAAGCATCCTCAAACTGTGACTCTTCAGCTGTTTGGGTTTCCAACTCCCAGAAGCTATAGCCAGCTTGTTCAGTGGTCAGGAATTCTGGAGTTGGAGACCCCAATAACAGTTTAAGGATGTTTGGTCTAATGTCATTTTCATGTGCTCTTGTTTTTGCCATTTCCAAAAAGCTTTAAATGAAATGACATTTTCAGTAAGACCTTTGAACCAATATAAAAAATTCACTGTGGCAGCTACATGTTTTCTGTGAATTTCTGATTCAAGTTCAAAATGTTAATTTTGAATTTTTAACACTTTCATGGCATAAGACTGGCTTATCTGAAAAATAGTTTTTTCCACCTTTTTGTTCAGACCTTAAGACCTTCTTCTGAGATTCTTCTTAGGGTGTGCCCAAAAGATGAGGTGTGGTGAATGGCTACTCTAAGTTTGTCATTTAACATCAAAATGTTAAATGATTTGTGCCAGGCAAGCTTAGTTAGGATGGGAATTCCATACCTGAGAAGGTACTACTAAAAGGCCCATTTCTAATCTTCCATGCTAATAACATTTCAATGTCATGTGAAGACCTTATTTCCCATGTGTGTTAATCTCCTCTAATTCTAAATAGTTTTAACATTGTTAATTGTTCTTGTGTTTTGTTTTGGACTTGTTCCGTCATATGTCTATTGTTCTTGTTGTTGTAAGCTACTTTGCAAATATGATCTTTTGCAAGTGTAAAACATACAGTCTGTTTGTTTATTTGTTTATTTTACCAGATGTATCTCCCAGCATGAGATAAATAAATGTTGGCTGACAAAACTTATGAATGATTGAGAGTGAATTGGTGGGGGATATAAGTTCCTTCTCAACAAAGAAAGCAGTTGTGAACTACTTTTACAATACAGCTGGATATGGTCTTCAGTCAGGGCTAACATGTGGATGAATCTGATATAAATTACTACAACTTGGAGGTCCACATGTGGCCTGTGACCCAATTACGTTCCATATGTTTGTCTTTTTCCTCAATAATATCATTATATGTTGATTATTTTTGGACATACATTCCAAAATTGGTGGATTTAAAAGAAAATAACATGGTTGTGTATTACTAAATACTCAAGATTTTAGTTGAGCCTTCTTTGCTACAAGAAAGGCAGCTCAAGTGGGAAAAAGGGAAGCCTCAAGTGAGCCAAGAGATATAGTACTATCAGTGAGTAGAAGGGAACAAGAAAGGTGGATGGGCAAATGGCTTTGGAAGAAGCCAGTGATGTTGGTGATGGCAACTGTAAACTAACAGAGGTGATGATTCTGTGGTGGTTTCAGCTGCCTGCAGGAGAGGTGCCCTTCCGCCTCAATAACACTCATAATTCTTTACCAATCCTTCTGTTCCCCAAGAGAAGCTCCCAAACATGTCTTGAATGTCCTGGATTGACCTCTTTGATGCACATGACACAGAAGGGAGACAGCTTCTGGATGCAGGTTATGAATCTTTTCTAGGTCCTCAATTTTTTTCACAGGGACTCAAACCCCCTCTCAACAGGTCTTCCTTTAATACCTCTATCCTACTATGTAATGCTTTATGGACATTAATATGAAGAAGCATGGCAGTGATTACTCCAGATAGTCTTACAGAGCTTCACAATTGTATTTGGGTGGAGTTAAAATCCATGTTTAGTGGCAATTATCTGGGCAATGTGAAGAGAGTACAGTAAGAATGCAATCCAAGAAGTGTGATGTCATTGCAACTGCAATTGCCAATTCTTGGGACTGTTTCGGAATGGGAGTGGAAGAAGACATACATTCTGGAAAGGAATTGGAGAGGACAATTGATGAAGGATTGTTGGTATTATATTGATTGAAAATTGAACTGGAAATAAGATAGCATCTAGGTTAAGAGAACAGAGAAAAAAATAGTTGGGATTTTTAATGGTTTTTACTCGGTTTAGAATAATAGTACAATTGTATTGGAAGAGGCCACATGGGTCATTTAATTTAATGCCCTGCCATGCAGGAAAGGAAGAATCAAAGCATCTCTGACAGAAGGCCCTCCAGCCTCTATTTAAAATCCTCCAGGAAGCAGCTCCCGTCACACTCCAAGGCAGAGAGTTCCACTGATGAACAGCTCTTACAGTCTGAAAGTTCTTCCTAATGTTCAGATAAAATTTCCTTTTCTGTAATTTGCTCTGAAGTCTATTTATTTATTTATTTACAACATTTATATGCCGCCCTTCTCACTCCGAAGTGGACTCAGAGCGGCTTACAATATATATTTTCATACAATATATTATATTATTAGCATAGTACAATATCAGTATTATATATTGCACTATACCATTATATTGTAATATTATTTGTAATATTACATGTAATGTAAGTATATAATTATAATTATAATATTGTATTATTATTACTAGTGTTATATTGTATTACATTATAATATTATAAATATTACATGTATATACAATATACTAGATTATATTATTAGTAAAGACAAGATGGAAGTATCTTCTGCTCCCCTCTGTCTTCTCTCTGACCAGAGCAGCCGTTGGTGCCACAGGAGGGAGGGGTTTCCCAACT